TTGTTTGGGCAGTTGGTGGTGGGGGCTTCCCTCCGTCTGCCCTGTTTCTCAGCTGAGCCTGCTGGGTTGTGTTGAACTCTGCAAGACTGAAACAGTTCATGAAGTCCTGAGGATGTGTCCATTAAATGTGAAAATCACATCCTGAAGATTTGGTTGTAGAACTTGTATAAACATCACTGACCAGCTTGGCACTGCTGGAAGGATTAGCCTTATTTTTGTTTTGCCTTTAAGGGCAATCCTGCCTAGAGGCCAGGATAAGCTAGGAATCTCTTGGGGTTAGATCAAGGACTCCATAAGAATTTCCATTAATCCTTTAAAAACAAAGTAATAAACTAGCCAGAGCCTGGATGTGTACAAGGAGGGGTAAACTCCAGCCTCTGTGTGGAAGTGGGCTGAGTAGCTGAGGCCTGAGAACCTCATCTTTCTGTACATTGTCATCTGATTCGATAGATAAAAGTAGAATTGCTCTCATTCTGTCTGAGTTTTGCAACAGGATTATTTTTTTTTATTTTTGAGGCATCAGTGTAAGGCTATGGAAGGACACGGAGTATTTTTTTTTTGTTTTATTTTCCTTTTTCCTCCTCTCTTTAATCAATGCCAAGCATAACTTGTGTCTCAGATTTGAACCCCAGTGAATATCTGTTGAATAAATGAAGATGCTAAAGTTATGCAATTCTCAAGAGATGAAACATTTTGTTATTTGACATTTTGTTGACCAGCATTTTCCAGGGGTACTTATGATAATGATAGCATGCATACATTGCTTGAGAAATTTACAAAACATTTTTACGAGGGAGATGATCACAGAGAATACCTCAGATCTGTAAGAGAAGAGACCAGGATTCTGGAATCTTACATGGATTTTCAAGGCGAGACACACAGTGGCCCCCTGATTTCTTCAGTGGGGTGATTTTGATAGTGAACGAGCAGCCACTACTCAGTGTGTCAGTTCATGGCCTGCGCTGGGGCTATGCTTAGAAGGGTGTGGCATCCTGTGGGGACAGCATGAAGTGGGACAGCGTGAGGACTTGGGGCAGCATCTGAGCGCTGTGTATGCATTATGTTGTAGTGAGTCAGAGGACATAATTTCTGGGTTTTTTTTTTCCATTGCTAACAATGGCCTTTGCTAACTGGTGACCATGATATATTGTGAGACAAACCTTGTAGTAATACGTACATACATCTGCACCAAAATCAGTCACATTTGACGTACTTTTGATGCTATCCATATTATCCTGTGTTGTGTTTTTTGACTGCTTAAAAATCAGCAAAACTCCATGCAGTTCCCTTGTGCCAAAAGAGGGCTGCATGATGCTCATGGGGAGTAGAGTATTCACAGGGATGTTTGACAGAAGTTAAAGACTTCGTAGTAGAGGTAGATAATACTAACTTTTCCATTCAGTCTGCCATCCTTGTTAGAATGGAATTATTGGCCTTCCAGGAAGCCTTTTATTCAAATGGGGAGGTGGAGGTTCAGAAAAGGAAGCGGTATGCTGTGCTCTGGCCACCAGCATCTCAGTGGTCAGTGTCTTCCCCTAGCTTCCTTAGGATTCCCCATTCCTCTCTAAGGCCAGGCAAGCCTGAGTACCAAAACACCAGCTCCGAATTCTACGCGTAAGTGAACACGCCGCAGACCTGCCACTGCCGTGTTTCCTTCCTAGACAGAGGGAGGCTGGGGGAAATCGCCATCTTTCTGAGCGCTGCCCCCGCAGAGTACGCTTTCCTCCTTCCGCAGTCTCCAAGAGTCCACGCGCATGTCTGTTCTTGCTCAGGCCTCTCCCATGCGCACCCTTTGCAGGCTTGGGCTGCATCCCTTGGGAAGGCAGGGGCTGTTTGTTGTCTGGTGGTTATCCCAGCATGAGAGCCCCATCCCCCCCTTCCCCCTCCCCTCTACCCCCGCCCCCCCCTCCCCCCCCCCCCGCCCCCCACAGCAGCACTTGCTAAGCCTCTGCTCACTGTGCTCCCCAGGCTCACCCCAACATCTAGTAAATCATGTTGGAAAAGCTTCTGGAATTTCTGCACATCCTACACATTCCAGATAATAAATGAAAAGTATTTGGGGGGGGGGGTGGAAGAGAAATGGACAGACTGAAAGTTTACTTTAGAGTGATTTACAGGTTGACCTCTCTGTACCTTTCCAACAAAGTTGCTATTAAAAACAGACTCATCTATCACAGTTTACCTACGTGACCCCATTAAATCCACAGCTAGCTTTCCATGCATGGACCTCTATAGAGAACATTTAACTTCTCTGGGAAAAACTAAGGTCAGTAATGATTCCTGACCAGAAGGGAAAACTCTGATGAAACGATTTCATAGATTATTACAAAATGTTGGGAAACAATTTGGTAAAAACCAGCTTTGCAGGTATCAAATATTTATCTGTTGGTGTCTGTCTCTGTCTGTCCTACTTTTGGGGTAGTGTCCATACAGAATGAAGTTTTATTTTATTCTTCTTTTTTATGATCAATCAGCACTCTGCACTGAATACTAAAAATAAACTTTTTTTTTTATGGTGCAGTCCTAGGGCTTGAACTCAGACAGGGCCTAGGCATTGTCCCTGAGCTTTTGTGCTCAAAGCTAGTGCTCTACCACTTGAGCCACAGCTCTATTTCTAGCTTTTTGATGGTTAATTGGAGATAAGAGTCTCAGACTTTCCTGCCTGGGCTGGCTTTGAAACGAGACCCTCAGATTTCAACCTCCTGAGTAGCTAGGATTACAGGTGTGAGCCACTGATACCGGCAAAAGAAACGTTTTTTTGAGTCATAGTAATGGATAATCATTCCCAATGTTTTAAATATCCATCTTTCCCAAACTTCTTAAATGGGTTTGTAAAAATTGTAAGACACCTTTATTAATTGAGAAAAGTTTGATGAGAGAATGTAATGTTGAAAGAAAAAAAAATCTTATCTTGGATGACTGGTGATATGAGCTTGGAACAAAAACCTTACTATGTAGACTGTCTACAGGGCATAAAATTATCAACAAAGTGACATCTCTCATATTTTGAAAAGGACCACACAGTTCTTTTTGTCTGGTTTAAAAATATGTGATAAATTCAGAGAATTGAGGAAAGCGCTCTTCCTATTCCCTGTCCAGCTAATTCAGACCAACTGGGAGAAATCACATGATGGACAATGCATCAGAAATCTAGGCTAAAAACCTGCTCCATCTATGAATAGCAGAGGCGGGAAGCAGCCCAGGGCTTGTGTTGTGGAGGGTGACAGATAAAAATAGTGCCCTACATTTTTCCAAGGTGATTTGAAACCTCCCAAGTATAGATGACCTTGCTACCGAAAATAAGATGACAAGGGCAAAGTTGGGGTTGTGACCCCTTTCAGAGACTCATAGACTTAAACTCATGTTGGAGAAAGAAGGACTTTCCTCCTGATCTTCAGCGAGCTGCATCTAGGCGCGAGTACTGCTTTCTTTTGATGTGTATATACATATATATGTGTATATCTATAATTTTTTATGTCTGTTTACCCTTTCCCCTACTCCTTTCAGGAAAGGAAGGTATTGCAGCTCAGGCTGGTGTGTTTTCAAAGCATCCCACCTTCCGTTCCCTCCTGCTGAGGAAAGCCAAGTCCAGAAGACAAGAGGTAGGCTCAGTGTCCAGCCACACCCAGAGCACCCTCTCACGTCAGAGGCATTCTTCGTTTCCCCTCCGGGACATTCCTTGGTTGGCGCTGTCCTCCTCTCTGCTGTGCTTGGTGCGGGTGGGGTGTGGCTTGAAGCCACTTGCCCCTCTCCTTAGAAGGGTCAGGTCCGTGCCTTTTCAAAACGATTTTTAAATTATTTTCTGTTTGAGAAGAGTCCAAGAGGAAGTGAGATGGATTTTCAGCGTCCAGTTCTAAAGTTCTGTGTGTATCTCTTCCATGGTCTGCTGCTGTGTAAAGTATCTCCACCTGTCTCTAAGACTGTCTAGGCGAGACGGGGAGAATTTGGTGAGATTTCTCTTGGTGACAGACAGATGTGAATGTGTCCTTGTCATTCTCTCTATGCGGGTCTCTATCCACAGATGGATGTTAGTAATTAGCAGTTGCCTTTCTGTCTTCTTTATCATATTAGATTCGTCACAAATTCATCATTTCTTTTTTTTTTTATTTTCTTAAAGTAGCTATAGTCCTGACAGCCTCCTATTGTTCTTGTGTTGATAAATAATTTATAACACAGAAATATCTCCTCTCAGTCTTAAAACACACACTAATGGAATAACACAACATGATGGCCCAGACTAAAACCTCTGGATGAGGGAGAGATGCATTGCCTCATTCCTAACAAAGAGGAGCTGAAGTCACATGGAAGAGAACCCATTTTCCACCTGTGTGTAATTTTTAACTTTTAGTGCCATGCTTCCTTTCCAGAGTCTAGTAGCTTAAGGGAGTTTTAGATGGTACAAGCAAATGCTTTTCCAAATAGTATACCTTCTTCTTATCTCCAGATACACATGCATTTTGTTAGGCTATAGAGAAAGGAGACTATTATTCAATTAAAACATTTACAGATGCTCAAAAATGTGCCATGGTACATTTATTCAACAACTGTATGCTCATAACCCAGGCGCAGTCCTTAAGCACCAAATTACAGGGATCCAGTCCAAATTAGCAATAAAATACAATGTGTTTGCCCTCTGCTGAGTAGTAATGACTGTGTAGTTTTCCTTGCATACCCAGTGGTCTTGTAGGCAGCTTTATAACTGTTTTATTTAGTCACTAACATAGTGTTATAAACAAATATGGCTAGGATTTGTGCTAATTAGGGCAAATAGAACAATGTCAAATCAGTTTTTCTAAGCTAAATAAGGCCTTCTGTGGAGATGGTTTTAAAATTTTTCTTACATTGCTCTAGGCTTGCATATCACATCACAGGAGATAACTTATAAGTCATCATTTGATATCCTGGAAATATATTCAGGCTGTAGATAAATAACCCGCCTAACAATGCTAATGCAGAATGTCTGGCATGTAATTTAGATAGGAATCTGAACACCTCCTTACATCAGCTGTTAAGATTTTGCACTGAAGCAGAAATAACGTCTTATCTCGCATCTGGAAATGGGACAGAGAATGGTGACACAAGTTATTTACAGAGTTGCTGCAAACAAGAGCAGCTCCAGAGAAACTACGAAGCAACTCCTTGGGCTGCTGCTGTGTAATGCCGGATAAATAATCGTGCCAGGGAAAATAAATTTCTTTCTTACATGGAGCACAGATGCGACTCTCACTGGTGCTGGGGCTCTCCTGAGGCATCTCCCCAAGCCCTAGTGCCCTGCACAGCACCCAGGTGCCCACTCCTGGCCCTCGGGAACGTGGGGGGAGAGGATGGTGCTTTTGTGCTGTCCAGGAAGACATGCCTACCTATACTCTTAAATGATTGAACGAAGGGCCTGGCTTAGGGGAGAGGAATTTGCCTGGCATCTCAGCTCAGGTTCTCACTCACAGATCCAGTTGTCTTCCTCTTGGCAAATGATTTATTTTTTACTTAAAAGTGGGTTTGGGATTGATACTCTAACTCGAGGCTTTGGAATGTGTTCTCCCGCAAACAGCGTCCAGCATCATTGGTTGGAGTGATTCAGGCATGAAACTTAAAGGATAGGCTTTTTTTCTCCCTTTCCCTTCATCCCCCTCTCCCCCGCCCTCCTCTTTTCGAAGTACTGGGGGACAAAATAATTACTGGCTTTACCACAGCCCAACAATTAACAAGAAATGAAATCCTTTCTCTGGCTTAAAACTATTCCTACATTAAGTCCTGTGGCTCCGCCCCTCCTACCGGCCCACCCACAGGATATGGGGCTTGTCTTTAACTCTGAGTGCTTCTGGGGAAGGGAAGTAGCAGCAGAGCTCAGATAAAAATCTCAAAACACAAAACACAAAAAGCCAGCATTTTTTATGCGAAGCGCAGGTGCTGCGCCCTTGGCATGGCATGCATCAGAGGTGGCAGTGAGGAGGCCGGAGCGGGCCGGGTGACAAGGTTACTTTGGGGAAGAGATTTTACACAAGGACAAGACACTGTACCGCCACTGGAGGAACTTAGCTAATGAAAGTATTTATTGATGGTCCTGATATTTCTGGAATTTTCCTAACTGCCTTGTGTACCAGCACGCGTGGGAAGGCGGTGGCCTCTCCCTTCACGGCCGGTCCCCATCTTGCCAAGTCTGCACTTGGCTGCATAATGGAGGATGTTTGGTTTGTAAGGCAGTTCCTGTTCCCAGCTGCATTAACCTGCTATTATTAATTACCTCCTTTGGCCTAACATTATGCCTTTCTAGCACACTTCTTGTCAGGCTCGCTGTGATTATTGGAAGGCTGTGCCATACACAGAAGCATTAAGCTTAAGACAATAGAAGCTGCTTATTTGCCAGGAGAAGATGTCAGGTGGAGAGAAGCACAGTTGGCCAGAACAGACATGAGCCCGTCATGAGGAAGTCAGGTGAGAGGTGGTCAGAGCCCAGTGCTGGGGCCGAGACGCCACACTCTGCCGGGCAGCTTCCATCATGCGCACACTGTGGAAGAAGGCGGGGAATGGGCCCGAGTAAATGATGGGTGAATACCGAATCATTTGTCGAGTGTGACAAGACACTTTCTCTCTTTGTTTAATGTATAAATCGGGAGTCCTTATGAAGTGATATTAATTAAAATAATGTATTTGCTTTCTTTCGACAGTAATGTCAGCCTTGTTGAAAAAAATGGGACGCTAAATCTTCATTAGACTTTCAGTATTAAAAATCTTGTATGAAATATGAATTATCATTGAACTTGTTGCTAGTTAGATTAAAGAAGCAAGTATGCAGAGGACAGTTAGCACTGGGGAGCAGGACAGAGGTGCTTCCCCAAACCCAGCAAGAAATCCGTGAGCAGAGCCCTGTGGGGCAGGGTGGCCTCTCACGGGAGTGACTGCATCGCAAGTGGAATTTTCCCGGTGCTGTCTTGTGCAGAGAATCAAGTGCACATTAAGGCCACTATAGGGCTAGTTGACAGAGTGGCTTACGGTGAAAATTTATCTTATAAAGATCCCTACTGTTCTTTATTGTGGATTGGGAGACATGACCAAAACATATTCTTTTGTTTCAGAAGAGAGTCCACGTGTGTCTGTTCATTTCTCTACCACAATCAGAAGAATCACCCAAAGTGCCAAAGTGTTGTGCCCACTTAGCTGTGTTAAAATTGAGACGTTAGTGATTACTCTCAAGGAACAAGTGAGTGAAAGCCTTTTGCCCTCTTTTCAGGTAGATGAGTGTTCCATATCTTCTAAGCTTGTTTCACCGGGGTCCTAAAACTAGAGCAACTACATTGGCATGGCCAGGCCAAGACCTGCTATTGTATCCAAGAATACATTATGGAACTCCAGTGATCTTATTGGCAATGTGTTGTCTTAGGGAAAAGCGGCTCATAAATGTGCTTGCTTATGAAGTACACCATCGATCTCATAATTATGTTCTACCAGGATTTATATGTTTGGAAAATGTGATTGAATTTTAGCCCTCTCTAGGGTGGTATGCACATGTGCAGCAAGACCACAAGGTGGCGCTATGGTGCCGTGCATTCTTTTTAAGGACAACAAGGAAAGGGGGTTTGTTTAATGAGCTTGCACTCACAAGCCTGCTCATCTAGTGAACTGTGACTTTTCAAATACCAACCTATTAATGTCAAAGGCAATACTGAAGGGAACAGTTCTGTTTGATTTAAAAAACACAGACAATGTGAAGTCCACTATGGCCTGGTATCCATCACCTATGGGGCTCCATTCATGCCTAATGCTTTATTCAAGCTAAGACCTAGTTTTTAGATATCAGATTAATACATATCTACAGCTTTGCACCTTTCTAGTTTGATTTTTTTATCATCAGGGCTCACCGGGGCCATTTTCATTCCCCTACTATAGCGTCTGCAAGCAGGTGGATTAGAGATAACTCTCATTGTGCTTTGTTTTTCTCCCGACACTGTCATTAATCATCCCTTAAGCCACACTTCAACTTCTAGTAATCAGGACTGGCTGCTCCTGAGCTGCACAAGAATTGCCTCTTGCCGTGTAATATGGAATTGGAAGCGAATGGCTGAGGCCACACGCCTCTTCTGCATTCCCCATCCATCTCATCATTTAGGTATTTATCCATCTCGGGCTTGTATGGAGAGCACCTCTCTCCTTCCCATGAGGGCGAAGATTGCTACAGAGGATCACATTTGTTACCTAGGCTTTGGGCTTTGATTGTCCTCTTATAAGTTCGGGATTAAAGTGAAATTTCCCACAGGGCTATGCAGGATTTGCTAGCATTTAACTGTTTAACCTGGATGTTTGTGAATGAGAATCCTGTGGTCAGCTGTCCCATAGAGAATATTATGGTAAGCCGAGCCTGAATGGTACACATTCCAGTATCTTCCTGTAAAGATAGGCGAAGTTGATTCCAGTTAGCTTCATATCTGATGCCGATTGTCTTCACGTACACAGAAAGCAGCGAAACTAAGGTAAAAAGAAAGCCAAAGCATTCCCTATTGTGAATGTACATGCTGCTTTTGAATAAATGCAAATCTGTTCCCTTGAAATTATGAATTAATCAGTGTTGTATTGGGTTGTTTTCTATTTTGTGTAGTTGTTTTAGGATCTCTGATTTTTTTTTTAAATTAATCCTAATCTACCGAATCTACAGTGTTTGTATTCTTTATTCAGCATACCTTTTAGTATGACCAAAGCAGAGGCAGAGGTTTGGATTTATTTATTTACATTTACTGTAGTCACAGTGATAAATATGTATTAGAGATGGCTGAGGTCCTTTACACAGATACAATTTCCCAGATCGTTCCTCATCTCTGAAGGAGGAGAGTCCTCTATTCTGCTTTTTATTCCCCAAAGCGAAGCAATAGGAAATTTGAGGAAGGACATTCAAAAATCAGGTCTATATTGTGTTTCCTTTTTCTTTTGTTGGTATTGTTGTTATTTAATTTTGGAGCTACATAAAGAGGGGATTTGAAGGAAGCCAAACTTAGGTTACCACCTAGTATAGAAGGATTTGTACACCCATTCCTGTAGTTACCTTATGTGAATATGTGAATATGTGGTTTTTTTTTAATAGAAAGGATAGCATTCATTTTATGAGCTCCATCAAAACAAACAGAACAATGAGGCAGTGGAAACAAGGAATTTATCAAACCACTTTAAGCTTACGCTTATGATGAAACCTTTTACAGAGAGCTGACTAAATCTATAAACATTTTATTCTCTTGTAAATCCCCCATTACGTTTTCTAAAACTTATCTTTTGTTGCCCAAAAGGTCAGAACACACACTTAAACAGGAATAACTTAAAAAATATGCAACCCCCCCCAACTTGATTTAAAAAAATGTTGGTCACAAAAGACTAAAACATTCATAAGCCTAGTTTTAGGTGTGTCACTGGCATTCTTCTCTTGGCGGCCGTGCAGGTGGCCAGCGGGTGTGGGGTGGCCGGCCCGGGAGGGGCACGGCCAGCCGACTGCCTTCGGCTTCGCTGCCCTCCAGGCAGACCATCCTCCTATTAGGAAGCGGCTTCTAAAGCTGCAGTGATAGACGCAGATCTTCAGCCTGGCGGGAGCCTCGCCTGGGGTTAGCAAACAAGCCGGCAGCACGTGCAGAGGAGCCTGCACCTTCCACCCCCTTCCTCGGCAGCAAGGCAGCAAAGCATTGGGGACAAATGGGGGGGGGGTTGTCCCCACCTCTGCTTCACAGATTTACATGAGTAGTTTTCAGCTGGGTATTATGCTCCTGAAGTAACCTCTCCATTCCCATTGTTTTAGTGTGAAATCATTTCCTCGGGAGATAATTAGAGTTGCTCCATTTATTACATTAAATGATTAGCATGCACTTGAAATGATCCAGTGTATTTCCCTTTATTGCTGATGACTCTTAAATATGGACCTCCATTCTTAATGGGTAAATTAAGGTTGTCTTGGCTCTTTGTGGCTGACTGTGTAGCCAAACAAGAAAACAAGAGAGGCTCTTCCTGTCCACCCACAGGGCAGGTGTGCTGGATCTGAAGAGGTTCCAGTCATGCGGACGTCCCACCTGGCTGGACAGAGCTCTCTAGTAGCATGCTTTTAATGACAGTGTTTTATCTGGATTACTTATCCTGCATGTGGAATAAGTTCATTAGAAAGGACCCTATGCTCACATTTCAATTAAAAAAAAAAAGCTATGCTGAAAAGGCATGTGCCTGATCTGAGCAAGTAACACGCCCTACGGAGCCGCGGAAGATGGTATTTTAAGAATTGCCAAATATAGATTTCATTTGGATGCAAGCACTTCTTGCTGTCTTTGAATTAGGCTGGTGGTAGAGCTGACAGAGTCATCTGAAATGCGCTGGAAAGTTTGGATCAAGCAGGCATTGCATATTGAATAGGCACCATTGCATATGTAATGAGAGGAGAGGAAAATAAACCCAGTGCATCTTGTAGTTAATTTCTATATTCAGACTTTCATGGAATGATAATAAACGGGATAACTTGAGCATTAACTTTGTTAGAAACATTCAGCCCAGTGTTTAGCTACAAGATGTAAACACGCACAGATGTAAAGCCTACCCTCGGCGAGGATCCCTGGTTTCACATTTGTTCACTCTGTCTAAATGTGAGCTAATCTTTCCTATTAAGAGATACCATTTCACATAAAAGTAAAAAAAAAGGGCTTAAAATAATATAATGAGATTTCCCACAAACTTCACATCGCTTTATATAATTTGATGACAGGGAAGTGTTTTTCTGCCACCTATGTGTGATGATTCAAAACTGTCATTTTGTTTTTATTGATTTACTTATGTATTTATTGTTTCTAATACCACTTTTTTTAAAAGAGAAAATATTATAATACCGTAGAAAGTTTATGGTTCCGGGCAGTAACCAGAGGACTGAAAGAGTGAAAGTAGAAAAGAAGGGTTCGGTTGGTGGAGACCAAGTGGAGACGCCATGGAGGCGGAGGCGGGCGCAGGCAGCCCTTCCCCAGAGGGGCTGCTTACAGTCCCTCAGGCCTTAGGTAGAGTGCTTGGGGGATAAGTACCAAGTTTCAGGTATTACCTTAGCCAGTGAGAAGAGGAATTTAATGCTCCTCTCTTATAATGCATTTACTACTTTTCTCTTGTAATTCAGATCCCGGGAACAAGCACATAAATTCTCTGTAAACAGTAGCTTGCGTTTTACGGAGACAGAGCCCAGTAAAAAGCAGTGTGTTAAAGTTGTCAAGGAGGCTTTGTGTCTTAGATGGAAACTCCAACAACAAGAGATTCTTCCTGTTGTGCTTTGTTGTAGCGGCGCAGTCTTGACCGTGGGCAACTGGCACAACCTTGACGGGTTTCATTATTAGAAGTTACGGAACATGACAAATTAGCAATGCCCATGCTCTGGTTAAATCTCTAAACAGGGGCTGGGCAGGTGGCTTATGAAGCCCTGGGTACAATTCCTCACTACCACATACACAGCAAAAGCCGGAAGTGGCGCTGTGGCTCAAGTGGTGGAGTGCTAGCCTTGCGCAAAAGAAGTTCAGGGACAGCGCCCAGGCCTTGAGTTCAAGCCCCAGGACTGGCAATAAATAAATACCTAAATAATCATTTTTTTCCCGTCCACTTAAACAGGTGCAAACTTCCTACCTTTTGTGTTTTATAGCAGAATGCTTCCAGGCTGAAGAACAATTGGTATTGGGAAACCTGGTTCTGAAGACAGACTGTGTAAAGACATTCCCTCAGCTGTGTCCCACATTGTCCTTCTATTCCCAGTCACTCAAATGGACACCATTGTCAGAGAGGAGGCAGATTCCTAGCGAATCTGTTCATCTCTTTGGGAAAAGTGATCATAGTTCATGGATATGCAAGGTCTGTGTAGACACGCCTTAACTCCCTGTCCAGTGCTCTTCCTTGTACCATGGCCATCCAGAATACATCCAAGCAGTGGCCCACATCCTCCGCCAGCCTCCAGCCTCCAGCTGGGAATGCTATGTACACATGGGAAATTGGGGACATTCTGGTATTGATTACACATGATCCTTTCTGATGAATCCGACTGTCACATATGATTTTCATCCCCTGTAACCAACTTTTATTTAAATTACCCTAAGTGGATAATAGTCCAACTGTATTACCCTTTAACTAGATGTACCAAAAGGTTATTGGGGAGATGGCAGGTTCATTTCATACAAAGGCATTGGCAGCCTATGGATGGTGCATCTATCTTGAATTGCTTTAAGAACTTCCGAGAGCTGCTGCTGCGTGGCGTTCTGAGTGCAAGGATGCCTGCCCCGGAGAAGCCATAGGGGCCAGGCAAGTGGGGGTGGGGGGAGGTGTGCGTGGAAACCTCAGCAGCGCTCTCATCTTAGAGGAGGAATGACTTACTCCCAGCGATAGAGACGGAGGAGAGGTTAAATTTCACTTCTTTGACTTTGTGAATTTCTTTTCAAAATGCCGTTACAGCAGTGCTGATACTTGTGGATGGAAGGCTGCAGTGGCTTGCACAAAAACACCTGATCGCATATCCATTATTCACAGGGAATCACACAGTTAATGGTTTCTAGCTCTCCTTTTGTAAGCTGATTTAAATACGTGGGGCTGCAATTCACATTTCTATTTTGTTCAGACTTCACAGAGATACTTAATTCAATTGTTCACATTTTTTGTCTTTATTGTAGTCAAAGTCGCCTTTGATTTCTTAGAAACCTCAGAAGTTAAAATCAACTTGGTAGTCATATGAATTATAAGAATTCTTTCTATACCTACACTTTTGTAAGACCAAAGGCAACAAGCAAGCAAATACCTAAAGATAATAAGTACCAAAGTAAAAAGAAAACAAAAACCTACCTCTCCTCTGATTATTTAATAATTTAAGTAGATTATGTGGAAGGATAGCTATGTCCAATGGATTACTTGGCATGTTAAAAATTTGGTGTTTTGCATTGATACAGCTTACTTGAGAGGAAAATTTTGTTTTTCTCAGCAGTCTGCGGTGAAGACATTTTCGGAGACAACCAGAGACCTAGTTGGTACTTACAGTGGCTGTATCAAATGAAAGATAGCCCCAGCCCCCCCAGCAAATCTTATCAGCAGACATGAATTCATCAAACAGGCTGAAGTTCTAACTCTTAAGAGCTGCATGGTTGGCTGTGGTTTAAGTTTCAGGAATAATGACTGTGGCACTCATTGTGACACATTAGGGCTGCCCAAGTTTTCCTTCTGAAAACTTTACCCCAGAATTCTCTGTCTAGAAAATGCTCTCAGGGAAAAACAAAGAAAAGAAAAGAAAATGTTCTCAGACAAATGAGAGAAACAAAACTTCAGAAGAAAATGATAGTAGCATAATATATAGTAAGTTTAATTCAAAAGTACTTTTAATTTTACTTTTATGCAAATAGGAAGAAGTCTGCTAAAATTAATCCATAGGAAAAGAGCAATTCAATTACCACAAAGAAGATGACATAAGCTGCCGAAGTGGAAGGAGTTCGGACTCTGGGAATGGCACATTGTGCTCTTTTTCTGAGTCCCTTTTAGGTGAAAATGGAGCGCCCACAGTAGGGTATGGGATATTTGACTTTATTATGGTAATGCTGCAGCCCCTGAAGGGAAGATTCATGGAAGCCTTGATAGAGTAGAAGTAGAGACTCCACGGTCACAATACATAATTTAACTATGCAAATACAGACTCAGGTGTGCAGTGATTTATCCACTTGCAATAGCTTGAAATTCTTTGAGAGGATTTTTAGAGACTTTATTGTCTAAAAATGAATATTTATAATGCTTTAGAGATAGAGGTTACTTACTGACTAGGCAATGATGTTTGGAACCCATAATAAGTGAAATAAAAAAAACATATTTAGAAAAACTTCTAAGAGGGTTTTGGATAGTTTTTTTTAAAGTCAAGATACATGCCAAATTACTTGAATGGACAGAACTCCTTTTAGAATGTGATAACCAGTTGGACATTTGTCATCAGTATGAGCATATCACATATCACATTACACACCTAAAACCGATGAACTGTTGGGTCTTATTCAAATATTCTTAATGCCAATTAGGGCAGCACTCATCTATTTATTGTTCTCTCTTTTTTTTTGCTCCCAGGAAAACCCAAGCCATTTCTTTTATGATCATGTGAAAATGTTTCTTTATATATTGAAACAGAAACATCAAAATTCATTAAGAACAAGCTTTGGCATATTAATCTGTCTGCCAGTTCTCAGCCTACTATATGAATTCATCTGCTTGTAAATCTTGAAAGTAGATTTCAAAATAGAAATACTAACAATTTCAGTAGCATTAACAGATTTAGCTCTCATTAAAAAAAACAAAGCACAATGATTTTAAGATGTTTGCAATCTGAATAAACTGATCAGTAAATAGAAAAAGTTTTCCCTACATTTATATGAGGCGGCGTCACTATTTGCCAGCTTCGGAATGGTATTTGATTTATATGCACTTGAAAGATAAGGGCAAAATGTCCAAAGACACGGTAAATATATGGTTTCTTAATTGCAAAGCCAAAATAGATTACACACAG